AAAGAAAGAAGAAGAAGAAATTAAAAAGGTGCAGGAGAAGGGGTCTGCCATGTTGAAATGCTGGAACTCTGTGAAGCAGCAAAGGTTACATTATGGTCCACGCCAGGCACATCCTGTTAAAGACTCCAAGGCCTCAGCAATGGAGTGGCACAGCTTTTCCGTACCATGAAGTTTAGAGGGATGGCGAAGTCTTCCTCAGGTCCAAGTGTGACTATTGACAGCATGTGCAAAAAAATGTCCACCACAGCCCCCGCTCCATGCTTAAGGCTTGAAGACTGTTCCCCACAGAAACTGTCCAGCTGAGTGAGATCAGCTAAACCTGCCTCCTTTCCAGCTGTGTATGATAATCCTGCCTCACTGTCCAACTGTATACAGTAAACACACTGAGCTTCCAGAGTGCTGTTGCTACTCCATCAGAGCTACCAAAGACCACCCAATCACAGCCTCTGTGTCAATGCATCTGTGTGTCTGTCCTTTCTGCATTCTCTTGTCAGCTCTAGTCAGGGTTCTAGGACTCGGGCCATGCAAAGATGCAGAACCGTCCTTATACTGCTTTGTCACAGTATTTTATCACAAGTAACTAATATGAGTAACCCTCTCTCTGACCACATAGAAAAGTTAAAACAAATTTGATGGGAATGTGAGACCCCAAATTAGAATGCCACTAGTTGAGGACATGCTTTATGACATTCAACTACTCAAAGATTTGGTGACCAAGACTCAAAAAAGTACAGGCCATAAAAGTAAAAATGGAGGATGAGATTGCATCAAACTAAAAGCTCCTGCGGAGCAAAAGAAACAGTCAACAAAGCAGAGAGAGGACTCGCAGAATTCGAGAAAATGTTTGCACATATATATCTGACAAGGGGTTAATATCCAGAACACATAAGAGACTCAACAAACAACAAGAAAAAAGTTCAATTAAAAAAGAGTCATAAGACATGAATACACATTTTTCAAGAGAAAATACAAGTGGCCAGTGGTACACGAAAATGTCTCAGTACCCTCCTCATTAAAGGATGCGAATCCAAGCCCCAGTAGGTGCTTTCTCACCCCACTAAGACAGCCAAGTCTGTCTTCTATGGCCAAGAATGTAAATAGATACTAGAGAATAGTATCATGGTTCTTCCAAACTTCCAAGTAGAGTAACTCCTATGGCCCAGCAATCCCGCCACTGACTGTGCCTAAAGGAAATGACGTCGGGGTGTTGAAGAGACCTGGGTACTCATTTGTACTCTAGCACTAACAACATCCATGAGTCAGTCTAGTACAGCGGAAGGGATAACAGAGATGTAGCACGTGCACACGGGAGTAATGTTCAGTCAATGAAAGGTGAAATCCCATCATTTGTAAACAACGTGGATGAGTCTAAAGGCCAGTATGCTAACTGAAATGAACCAGTCACAGACAGACAGAGGCCATACCATCTCACACAAGTGGAATTCAAAAAGAGTGGGTCTCCTTGAAGTGCAGAGTGGAGTGGTGGCTACAAGAAGCACAAAGGCCAGAAGAGAGCACCAGACCCAGGAAGTCTGCGTCACAGGAGGTTGGGAGCGGCCCGGCCTGGGTGCCGAGAACTAAACAGGTCCTCTGCAAGAGCAGTGAGCACTCTTAATCACTGAGCCAACAGCAGCATTTCATATGTTTTTAGAGAAATTGGAGACCACTGTCTCTCTGGAACTTATTTAATATTGTTTACTCCTTTCTAGGTCACCTGCAATGGCAGGACAAATTTTTGCGATAGACAGACATTATTTTAATGAACTTGGACAGTATGACAAGGACATGGATCTTTGGGGAGGAGAAAATGTGGAACTTTCACTAAGAGTAAGTGATATTTCCGTTTGTTTTGTCCTGTTCCCCCATGTAGTTACGTGTGTATGGAGGAGAACTGATGCTTGATTTTGTTGTGGTGAAAGGAACCCAGTTTGGTGCCTACTGGGCTCGCGCTCTTCTCTACTCTGAGCACCAGTGCAATCTGACTTTTCATCTGGTCACATTATTTCCTCCATGAGCATGCAGGACTGGTCTGGTGACACACGCAAGGGCATGCATGCAGCAGATGATGGGGTCCCTGGAACCCCTCATGGGCCATTAAAGCCCCTGACCATATGCTTTGTTGTTTTCAAAGCATGGTGCGGTAAACTAACAAGACAGTTAAATCTATGTGGGCTCTCTAACTATCTTCATAGTTCTATCCCCCTCCCTTTTTTGTTTGGAATTTTATATCCCTCCCTCCTTCCCTTTCTTCCTTGTAGCTGGCCATTTTAGTCATTGTATGCATGAAGAGGCCAGAGGTCAATCTCAGCTATCACTCCTCAGGTGTCGTCCACCTCATTTTTTGAGAAAGTCTCTCACTAGCCTAGAACTTGCTGGTTAGACTGGTGGGCCAGCAAGTCCTAGGAATCCTCTCATCTCTACCTCCTCAGTGTGGAGATCACAAGTGTGCACCACCACACCCGACTGCTTCTTTTTTACAGTGGGTTCTGGGGATCGAATCTGATCCTCATGGTTACATGGCAAGTGCTTCATTGACTGAGTCCTCTTCCCGGCCCTGTTTCATTCTTTATCCATTTTTGTCCTTTTCAGCACAGACTTCACAGGCTTACTGTGTGTACGCAGGTGTCTCAGCAATGCTTCTCCTGCAAGCTCCTACTTGGAACCATCTCACACATTCATTACTTTCATCCCCCACCCATTCATGCGCTCCCCTCTGACCTGGGTAGTGTTTTATAATGCCCAGGCCTCTGGCTCTTTCTATTACATTTGGTTGGCAATCCCTTGTTTTATTACATTGCTCTCTAGGAATACTGCCCCATACATTTTTTTTTTTTTTTGAGACAGGGTTTCTCTGTGTAACTTTGGAGCCTGTCCTAGATCTCGCTCTGTATACCAGGATGGCCTCGAACTCACAGATATCCACCTGCCTCTGCCTCCCAAGTGCTGCCTCTGCCCAATATTTTTTCCTCTCTTAGGACTTAACTATAAGCACATTCTGTATCTCAGAATAGAACCACTTTTTGCAAAAGGTATGTGTATTTGAAAGCAAGTGTAGGGGCCATTGAAATGATTCTGTGGGCAAAAGTGCCTGCTGTTAGCTGCCAAGTCTGAGGATCTGAGCTCAATCAACTTCCAAAGTTGTCCTCTGACCTCTACATGTGAGCTGGGCCATCCATGAGTGCATTCTCATCCTCTCTCTTTCTCTCTCTCTCTCTCTCTCTCTCTCTCTCTCTCTCTCTCAATAAAATTTAAAATATAATGTGTCGCATTTCTGGTCCTACAGTCCTCACAGACAGTAAATGACAGCTAACTTCCTGTTCAAATGAATCAATTATTCCTAGCCCAATATTTCCAATGATTCTATTCCCAATGGCTGCTTTGAATCTCTGAAGTATGCTTGGGTCTCTCTTTGTATAAACAAGCATATGAATTAGTAACTAGTTTAAGTACTCTCTTGACACTAGCCACTGAAAACAAAATAACAATTTTAAACTGGGCATGTGCCACCACGCCTTTAATCTAAGCACTCAGGAGGCAGAGGCATGCAGATCTGTGAGTTCAAGCTTAGTCTGTTCTACAGAGCAAGTTCCAGGACAGCAAGGGCTACACAGAGAAACCCTGTCTTGAAAACTTAAACAAAATACAAAGAAACAAAAAAACTCTAAAAGATTATGCCTACAAATGGTTCCTGTGGCTGACACATCTCTATCTGAGGCTACAACTGAAGTCTGCAGTGGCTGGAGACTATCCTTGAGGGATCTACTGAAGTTCAATTCAGTTCTGCCAACACTGAAGGAGTTCAACTTCCTAGTCAAGCTGTGCTGCAGGCCAGGCACTCAGAAGACAGTACTCCCTCCCTTTTCACTCCTGTGGCAATGTTTCCTGAGGACCGAGGCCCATGTTAGTTACTTTCCCCATGCTAGGACAAAATACCCGAGGAAAGCAGGGCTGGTCACATTGTAGCCATACTCAGAAAGCAGAGAGAGAGGAAAGCTGTTCCTCAGCACACTTTCTTTTTTTTTCCTATGCTGTCCAGGACCCCTGTCCATGGAATGGTGCTGCCCACTGTTAGCCAGGGTCTTCCTACCTCAATGAAGCCAGTCTAGAAACTTCCCCGACAGGCATGTTGTTTGCCTCCTGACTGATTACAGATCCTGCCAAGTTCACACCAAATTAACCATCATAAGGACACAGGCCAGTGCTACAGTGCAGCAGTAAGAGTGTAATGCACAGTGTAAGAGTAGCTTCTGATGCCATGGCCTTCCATCTCATCAGGGAGCCAGTTATTTAATTTTACCTTTGATTAAACACAGTGGAGAAGCACAGATTACTCTGTGGTTATATAGAAGGGGAACTGAGCCATCTTTTTTTTTTTTTTTGAGGTGTCATCCACAACATTCCTGAAGCAGTAGCACTTGAGATGTACAGGATTAATACGTGTGGTTTGTTGAACAGATTCCTATGCCTAAGTCACACTGCTGAAACATTTTACAGACATTAATTTACTTAATCCCTACAGGCCTGTAGGGTGGGTACTGCCCTTATCTCTTACTTTTAATGAGAAAACAAAGACACAGAAAACTTACTTTCCAAGTTGACAAAAACAGTAAGTACTATGCTCCAAACCCATTTTTCCCTGCCTCTTAGAAAGCCTCCCTTTCCAGTCCTGGGGCCCTGCAAGCACATCTCCACTGTCTCTCGGTCAGTTCTAGCAGATGTGTGAGAGAAGCCACCAACGCCCTGAGTTGCTTTGGTTGCTGAGTTCAGTGGCTGCCGTGGATCATGGAGAGGAAGAGTACACTGGATAGCCATGCACCTGTGCTTCACACCCAGCCTTTGAATGGTTCCCATAACCAGCTTCAGATTCTTGTGGTTTAACAATCCTCGTTGGCATCCAACAGGCCTTGACCACCTGAAGTCTTAGCTTGCCTATTTTTCCAGTACCTGTTCTCCATCCTGGCATCTCATCATACTGCCAATGTGTGCTACTCCAAAAACTGAGGCTTTGACTTCTGCTATTAAGGATGACCACGTAGGGAATCCCATTTCCCAGCCTTACCCCAAAACTGAACCTCTTTTTTTGTTTCTGGTTTTGTTTTGTTTTTCAAGAAAGGGTTTCTCTGTGTAGCTCTGGATCTCACTCTGTAGACCAGGCTGGCTTTGAACTTGGAGATATATCTGCCTCTGCTTCCCGAGTACTGAGATTAAAGGTATGTGTCATCATGGCCCAGCTTAAGACTGCACCTCTTTAGATACAGATGCCAGCTTAAATCCTGCTCAAGATCACTGAGCCCATTGGATGCTCTGATATGGAAACAAACCATGAATTTACTAGAGTTCTCATACAGTGACATAATGGAAGCCTCAGCAGATTTCTAACACTCTCCCCATGGCCCATCTATCCACTGAGTCAATGACTTACTCTTCATGGGTCATCTGCTCAGAATTTTGATTGCTAAGGATATCAGGGATCAGTCAGCTACTACCTCAGTATCTGTCAGTTATTACCACGTTATGCTGTGTAAAGAAGTACCTCAAAGATGAATGGTATAAAATTGTAACACTTACCTTGCTCTTGCTCCTGTCCATGGTGGCTGGGATGACTCAGCAGAGGCTGACTGGGTTGGGCTTTAGTTTCTGGTTTTAGTTGAGGTCTGGCATTATTTCCACGAGTAGCTGCCATATGGAACATGTTCTTCTCACACTGAATGGCAGGAAGATAAAAGTTGAGCCAAACCACATGGCACATTCCACCTTCTGTAGTCACGATGTGGGCTGACATTCCACCTTCTGTTGCCATGATGTGGGCTGACATTCCACCTTCTGTAGTCATGATGTGGGCTGACATTCCACCTTCTGTAGTCATGATGTGGGCTGACATTCTCTTGGCCAAAGCCTGTGAAACACAAGTCCAGAATCAGTGTGTCCTCAGACCCAAGATGAGGGAAAGGGAATGAGCAAATGTTTACTGACCAGAATTTGAGTCTGTCACTCTGGATTTGTGGAATGAACAACCAAGTCAATGTAAAATGGATGTAAATGAAACCCATGTTAGGAGAGCAGTGCTGCACTGTATATCAGTTAATTATTGTCAGTAAATTTTAACTTATGTGAAAAAAAAATGCCTCAAAACACAGTAGCTTATAACCATAAGCAATTACTATTCCTCTCAATTTTTGGTGTTACTACAGTAGAGCTGGCCTGATTTCTACAGATGTTGCTGCATCTGTGTTCACTTGGAGCCCATCCAGAATGTCTTCTGCCATAAGACTGGCTCAGTACCACCTGGGGCAATGAGAACCATTTGGCCATTTGTCAAGCAGGCTGGCCCAGGCTCACTGATACTGAAGAGGTCACAATGTTCTCAAAAGTTACAAGAGGGGTCAAGATCTAGGAAGCTGCAAGCACTTTTCAAGCATCATGCATTCTGGGCAAGCACTCTCCCACCTGGTTTCATCCCTAGTCCTGCTTGTTTACTCTAGATTTGTTCTTAAAGGAGACACATCCATCTGGATATATCCTCTCCTGTGCTCATTGTAGGGATGGCCTCAACTATTCCTCTTATCTCCTACTTTATAATCCTGTCAGTATTGGGGTATGTTCATTAGGGATAAGGGGAATCTGTGACCAGCCTAGTGATGTGGCTCAGTTGGTAGAGTGTTTGCCTAGCATGCACAAAGTCCTGGGTTCAACCCCAACCCCACATAAAACCAGGCATGCTGGCACATGCTTTGTAATCCCTGTCTCTGGCAGGAGGATCAGAAGTTCAAGGACATCTTTGACTAAATATGAAATTCAAGGCCAGCCTGGGCTACACAAAACTCTGTCTTAGGGAAAATAGATGGGGTGTGGGCAGAAATTCACAGAATGTCTATTTCTACCTCCTGAGTGCTGGAATTACAGTTGTGGACACCCAAGGCCAGTGTATGTAGTGCTGGGGGTTGAACCCAGGACTTTGGGCATGCCAGACAAACACTATACCAATTGATCCATATTCCCAGCCCCACACAGCATGTTTCAGTGAAGATCTTAACTTCCCATTACTGTTTTATAATGATTAAGTGAATTTCCTCAGAAAAAATATCTGCAAAATCAGAATTTATGGTCTTGATGAGTTAGAACTGAGGATCATCAAATCTGAGTGTGCAGTTGAATCACATAAAAAGCCTGTGAAAATGCAGAAGGTTGGGCCCAAGCCACAGTTTCTGCATCAGTAGGTGTCAGGGACCCATGGGTTCTCATTTTTATCAAGTCTCCAGGGAATGCTGGTGTTACTGGAGTCTAGGAAATAGAACAGCTGCAGCAAATACACCCTGTGGGAGCTGTGAGGCAGCTGAGTGGGTGAAGGCATTGCCACTGACCCTAACGACCACGTAGATCCCTGAGATCCACACAGCAGAGAAAAGCAAGTCCTGCAGCTCCTCTGACCATCACATGCTCACTACGGCATGAGCACCACCCCCAAATAAATAGATGCAAACCTGAAGATTAATTTGTGTGAGTGTGTACATGAAGGAGAGGCATGCATTGCCACAGAGTATGTATGGAGGCCAGAGAACAACCTACAAGGGTCAGTTCCCTCCCTGCTCTATGGGGTCCTAGGATCGAACTCAGGTGGTCAGGCTTGGTGGCAAGCACCCCTATTCACTAAGCCATCTTGCCAGCCCCTCTGTGGTATCTTTTACAGTGATGAAATGGAAACTCCTAAAATTTCCAAACAAGATCTTTGGTTTTTGATGTGTGTGTATATACGTAAGTGTGCAGGCACATGTCTATGCATTCAGAGGTCAGGAGGATGTCAGGGGCACTCCTCTGTCATGCTTCACCTTCATTCCCTTGAGACAGAGCTCTCTCTGAACCGGAAGTTCACTGTTTTTCTGCTAGGCTGGCATCCACTAAACCCCAGTGAACCTCCTGCCTTTGTCTCCTAATTCTTCCAGCACTGGGGTTCCAGGTATGTGCAGTCACGTCCAGCTTTTTGTATGGATACCAGGAGTCCAACTCAGGTCCTTGACCTTGTAGGGAAGTGCTTTTATCCCATTGAGCCATGTTTCCAGCCCAAGGCCCTTAAGACAGTTTTTCAAAAACTACATGAAGACAGTAAGTAAAAAAAAAAAAAAATGTGTATTTTTGCAAGTCCACACACAGACTTGAATTCTATTGACTGGCCCCAAGTGTTAGGGTGTACATTTTCCTATATTTGATAATTCTCAATGACCATATCTTGCTTTCATTCAGTGAAGTCATTACAATATATGTTGTGCAGTGTTTTATGTATAAACCACAAATAACTGAACCCAGCCAGAACCTGTCTTTCTCTCCGTATTGCTTACACCTGGCAATAAGCAGCGGGAAAGAAAGAGAATTATTTGCCACTCAGAACTCAAGTTCTCAGGCTAGACTTCCTAAATTTGAACCTGAGCTCGGCCACTCAACTGTTCCACATCACTGGGCAAATTTCTTAACCAAACTGTATGTTAATTTTTTATCTGTACAGGGAGGGGGTGGTCATAGCACCTATACTATAGGACTCTGATGAGTCTATGGAATTTATTACTTAAAATAAATGGAATACATATTAGAGACTGGGACGAGTAGTGTAGCTCAGCTGGAAGAATGCCTGCCTCGTATGAACAAAGCCCTGGACTGAACCCCAGCATGGTATAAACCATGTGTGGTGGTGCACCACTGTAATCCCAGAACTGGGGAGGTAGAGGCAGGAGGACCAGAAACTCAGTGTCATTCCCAAAGAGTGGGTTTGAGGCCAACCTGGGCTACACATCTCAATAAGCAGCCAAACGAACAAACATTAGCTATTTGTGTATGTATTTGTGTGTATGTTTATGTGTTCGTAAGCAGCCGCCAGTTACTAGTAAAATAATTAGTTATGGTCTTGTCTAGATTTGGATGTGTGGAGGCCAACTCTTTATACTTCCTTGCTCTCGGGTTGGACATGTCACTAAGATACATGATTCCAATGACCCTGCATTCAAGAAAGCCTTGTCCCAGAACTTACTGCGAGTGGTTCACACCTGGCTGGATGAATACAAGGTGAGTGGTGCCTCTGACTGGGGAGAGCGGGCTCTGGGATGTTCTCAAGACTCTGCCACCTTTCCAGATCCAAACTGTATTCTTTCCTGTTTTTTTTGTAAGTTGATGGAGCTCCTTCAATTTCTCTCCAATTCATCACCAGTCTGGCTCTCAAATGGTTAACCCTAAGCAGCTGTACTTGTGACTTATTGTTTTAGGTTTGAATTTTAGGAAAAGTCAAGTTTCTCAGAAGGAAATCAACCTGCAGTCTTTCCCCACGGCTAGATCTATTTATCCACTGAGAAGTTACTCTTCCCCTCCCTGCTGCAGCAGCATCAGGAGCTGATGTCTTCAGGGTTCCCTACCAAGCTACTATCAGTTTCCTGGGAGATGTGGCTGGCGCAGGTCTTGTGCACACATGAGAACTCCTTTTCTATTAACAAGCAAAGGTTTCTGTGTGAAAGCCTTGCCCCTTGCTTTATGTATGTCCCCAAGGGTTACACCCTGTTCTCCAAGAGCACATCTCTGTCCAGATACCATGCATGAAGAAATAAGGACAGGCCTCCTTCAGACAAATGCACAGTGTCTCTCTGACAGTGTCCTTCACCTTGGCTCTGTCCCAGTTTGCTTTTCTGTGCTGTGATACAACACTGGCCAAGAGCACTCTGGAAGAGTTATTTCCCTAATACCTCCACATCACAGCCCATTATCCAGAGATGTCAAGGCATGAACTCAAGCAGAGCCCACAAAGGAGAACTGCTAACTGGCTTGCTCTCCATGGCTTCTTCAACATGATTTCTTATACAGCTCAGGACCACCTGCCCAGGGATGGCACCACCCTCAGTAGGCTGGACCTTCCTCTAACAGTCCTCAGGAAAATGCCCGACATGTCAATCTGATGGAGGCAATTCCTGTTTGCAGTCTCTCTTCCCAGGTGACTCCAGTTTGTGTCAAGGTGAGAAAAAATAATCAGCAGTTTTTTTAATTCAAGCTTTTGAATTATTGTAAAAATGAGATTATTTTTAAATAATCAGGGAATTCCTACTGAGGCAGAAGGATTGCAAGTTCAAGCCAGCCAAGGCAACTTAGTCAGATCCTGTCTCAAAAACAGAGCAGAAATGGGCTAAAGAGACGGCTGAGAGGTTAAGATCATATACTGCTCTAGTAGACCTCAGTTCAGTTCTCAGTGCCCATATCCAGGTAGCTCACAGTCATTGTTAAGTCCAGCTCCAGGGGATAGGACCTCACTTCTGCTCTCTGCAGGCCCTTGAACTCAGGTATGCAGGCCTCCAGAGAGACACATACACATAATTAAAATAAATGTCCTGGCATGGTGGTGCACATCTTTAATTTAGCACTCGAGGACAGAGGCAGATCTCTGTGAGTTCAAGGCCAGTCAGAGCTACATAATGAGAACCCTGTCTTAGAAAAATAAAATAAAATTTTAAAACCAAGGAAAAGGGGCTGGAGAGATGGCTCAGAGGTTAAGAGCACTAACTGCTCTTCCAGAGGTCCTGAGTTCAATTCCCAGCAACCACATGGTGGTTCACAACCATCTGTAGTGAGATCTGGCGCCCTCTTCTGGCCTGCAGTCATACATGCTGTGTACATAATAAATAAATAAATCTTTAAAAAAAAATAAATAAATAAATAAAATTTTAAAACCAAGGAAAAGGGGCTGGAGAGATGGCTCAGAGGTTAAGAGCACTGACTGCTCTTCCAGAGGTCCTGAGTTCAATTCCCAGCAACCACATGGTGGTTCACAACCATCTGTAGTGAGATCTGGTGCCCTCTCTGGCCTTCAGTCATACATGCTGGATACATAATAAATAAATAAATCTAAAAAAAAAGGGGGGGGAAAAGAATAATAGATACACGTGATATATTTAGTAGTTACAGTTCTACACAGCATTGCAAACCCATATGTTATAGATACACATGCAGCCACCACCACTGGTACATCTATAAGGTATAATAGAGAATAAAGAATGCATATTGTATTCTCTTCCTATTAAAGTAAAAGTGAGCAAAACTTGAGCAAAACATCCACTTACTTTGAGATTAGCACTTGGGAGGCAGAGGAAGATGGATCTCTAGGAGTTCCAAGTCATCCTGGTCTACATAGAGAGTCCTAGACCTGCTAGGGCTACACAGTGAGACTCTTTCTCAAAAAAAGAAGTAGAGGCTGGAGAGATGGCTCAGTGGTTGTATTCATCAGGGTTCTCTAGAGGAACTGAACTGATAGTGTGTATGTATGTATAGATAATCATATATATATATGGAATTTATTAGAGTGGCCTACAGGCTGTGGTCCAGCTAGTCCAACAATCTATCAATGGGAAATCCAAGAATCCAGTAGTTGTTCATTCTATGAGGCCGGATGTCTCACCAGTCTTCAATCAATATATGCTGGAATTCTGAAAAAAATAGGCTCTAATACCAGTGAAGGAATGGACTTGCCAGCAAGAGCAAGTTTCAAATTTCCTTCTTCAGCAGCCCAGATTAAAGGTGGATCTTCCCACCTCAGAAGATCTGAATTAAAGTTGCATCTTCTTACTCAAAAGATCTGGATTAAAAGTGGGTCTTCCTACTTCAAACAATTTAGCTAAGAAAAAAATCCCTCATAGGTGAACCCAGCTACTTGGGTTTTGGTTAATTCTAGATGTAGTCAAGCTGACAACCAAGAATAACCACCACAGTGGTTAAGAGGACTTGTTGCTCTTGCAGAGAACTTGGGTTCAAGCACCCACATGGTGGCCTGTCTCTGCAGGCATCAGGCACATATGTGGTGCACAGACACAAATATAGGAAAAACATCCATATACATAAAGTAAATTTAAAAATGAAATCAGTGCAAGAAATTAATAAAAGGACATAATTAAGAGAGCTCTGGGGTGCCAGTCATGTTCACTGATTAGACAAGGTTACTAGAATTGATCTGTTGATAATTCAGCAAGTTAAACATTTATATTTTATGTCCTTTTGCATTTTTATTATATTGATGTTAGTGAATATTATTAGTTTCTTTGAGTCCAGGTATTGCTATGTATCCTGGCTTGCCTGGCACCCACAATGGAGCATAGACTGGTCTTGAACTCACAACAATTCTTCAGACTTAGTGCTGAGATTACAAGCATGTGCCAACATGCACAGATTTTAAAAAGTTAAAGGTGAAACATGCTTACTTTAAAAATTCATATGATCTTCAGGGGTACAAAGTTAACATTATAGGGGCCAGCAGACAATTCAGAGATGGCTGTGTTCTGATAGAAAACCAAAGTTCTATTCCCATTACCCATATGGGGTAGGATAAAACTGCTTGTAACTCCAGCTCCAGGGGGATTCAAAACTCTTTTCTGGTGTTCGCAGGCACCTGAATACACGGGATATGATCACAGAGACACATGTACACATATAAAAATAAAAATTAAGGGGCTGGAGAGATGGCTCAGTAGTTGAGTACTTGCTGCTCTTCCAAAGGACCTGGTTCAATTCTAAGTACCCGCGAGTTGGCTTACACTCTAACTCCAGCTCCAGGGGAATCAGTATCCTCTTCTAGCCTCTGAGGGCACCTCTAGCCTCCTACAAGCACATAGTACACATATACACATTCAGTCCGCACACATAAAATAAATCATTAAAAAATAAAATAAATTAATAAAACAAATAGTCTATAGTTCCATCTCAAAGTGATCACTGAATTGCTTGTTGTGGTTGCTGGTTAACA